TGAAGTTGTCAGCAACAGCTCAGGCCAAGGTGACAGAGGGTGAGAAGGAGAAGGTTCTGCTAATGTACATGGAGAGAAGCTAATGGATGGCATGAGAGCAAGAGAGTAGACCATCCTGGAAGTTATTAGTCATCCACTCTCTAATGATTTATTAATTTCTGCAGACAGTCTACTGTTCATCAGAGTTGTTGATTGGCCGGTTGGTTCTACTGTTGATCTATTAAACTGGGGTCTTTCAGCTCAGCTTATAGTGGACTGCAATTATTTTTGCATCAGACCGTGCAAGCTCTTCTTGTAACAAGGTCAGGTAGATATATGTTTACAAGCAGTTTTCCTGTGTCACTTGGGATATTGAAAGAACTCCAGCAATCCTTTGGCGCGTTAAATGCAAGGCTGAGATCTGTGAGGTGAACGTCACGACCTTTGCAGCCGTGCGTTTTGTGTCCCGTGTTTATTGAAGAGGCTAATCTGTTATTACTCAAGATTCAGATGGTATTCACTCGCTGGATGGTGAAGGAATGAAAAATATGCTATGCGTGTGTGTTTGATTCGCTAAAAATGTTGCAGATATTCTGTAGTACACAAACTAACACATGAATGCACCCGGCTAGCGTCAGACTGACGCACAACGGTTTTACATACACGTAGTTGGGGTGGTCGTCGGTCGCAGCTAAAGAGGCTCTAACATTGCTGCCTTCTTTTTTTTTTATCTGCTCCTGTTTAAAATAAAAACTTATCAGGGAAATCCTTTCTTTGAGAATGGCTGTCAAAGAAATGATCCTTCCTTATCTGGACTGGAAAACATTCAACATTTTCCTAAGCTAGTTTTAGCTAGTAGCATACAACAAAAGGAGACCTCTTTTCTGTGGCACTTTCATTGGATTAATTGAAATTAATTACATTTATGTATCTAAAATTAAGGCCTTCAAATATCTTGAATTCAATGAAAGTTAGCCTTAAATACCTAAAGCATAGATCTTATATTTTATCTGTTTAATCCTATATTCTATGTAGTTGTTTTTTTTTCCTAGCTTGACTTTTCTATCAGGAAAAAGTTTGAGTTGTATTCAAACATCTACAATACGTTCTGTGACTTGAGACATTTTCAGCTACTGCTAACTAGTTGCTAATGTACCCTTGCTAGCTATCTATTTAGCTAGCTTTTTTGCATCTATCATGGATAAGTGCAAGGTTATTGCCAGTTGACTGGATGAAGTTTGGTTGTTAGCATACGACCTTACATGGTATGACTGCATGCTAACCATACAATGTATATGATGTATGCTAACCATACAATGCTACATTCTGTGCAAAAAGGCTTCGAACTACGGGGTTAATTCTGTAGAGACAAATATACAATGTGAGAAGTACAAAGATGCTGCTAATAGCCACAAACGTACCTCAGAAATGCCACAGTTTTGATTCCCTGCTGTGGCTAAAGCTACCTAGAAAACATTCAACGCTGCTACTGCTACTAGCACTGAGAAGAGCAGCATTTGGTGCGACACCAACACTGAAGTCGGATGTTTAGTGAATTTTAAACACCAGTCTTGGCTATTAAAGAATTAAAAAAAAAAAAAAAAGTTGCTACTATGGAGAGAAAGCTACGATTTACGATGGTCTTTAGAGGTTTTAAGTTTGAGTTCGTGAAATATGTAGAAACCCTGATCACGAATGACTGTTCCTGGTTCTTATTCTCCCTTCGCCGATCCCATCTCAGTGGAAAACAGTGACTAAACCAGATGAATGAATGAATGAATGAATGAATGAATGAATGAATGAATGAATGAATGAATGAATGAATGAATAAGCAGTTAGAGATGGGTTGTCCTCTCATATTTCTGGTCAAGGTTGCAATGCAGATTCCTGATCCGCCTCCGGTTGTCTCCACGCTGTCAGGGACAGATCTGTTAGCCGAGGCCAGCTAGCCGGGTTGCTGTGTGTTTGGACAGGCTGATATCAGCTGGCTACGAGCCACCTCTCTAATCCTCTGTTTGTGTATTTCCTTGTTGGCTCTACACTAGTGTGAACAGGCCAGAGCCCTGGGCTGATATGCAAACATCGTTGGTGAAACACCCAGTGTTGCATCACTGTCTGCTTGTCAGCATGTGTATGCATCACTACGGCTGCCTGATGGAAGTAGAGCCCCTTTTTGAAGAATGTAATGTAAACGAACATGCATATCGTTTATGTTTTTGGGCTTTCTTTTGCTTTGATGTCTTGGATGGGTTTTCAGACTTTTTAAAAACACGGTAAATGCAGAGGGAGAATTACTGTTTCTGTATATTTTTCTTATTTTTTGAGTTATACAGTTTTTGGAGTGGATGGTATCCCGTAGTCTTACTGTGTTCAGCTGTGATTTTATGCAATTTTTGTGTTATTAACTACTCTGTTTTGTGTTCTTTAATCTGTGTTTCTGATGTATTGTACTTTATTGAAATATCTGCCATATGTCAAACAAAGCAATGGGCTAGATAAAGCAGTTAAACTTTAACATGTAAAACACACCAGAAGAAATTATAAACCAGTGCTGGATGCACAGTAAAACCAAGTTCATCATATCTTTTTGCATAATAAAAAGTAATATTTAAGCTGCATGTTCTGCTAAGGTTTAAACATCTAGAAGGGTTTGTTCCATACTGGTCAATGATGGGTACTTACATTTTCAAGTATCTGGTAAGTCTAGTTTTCCCAGTGAAGGGAATTGATGGCATCACAAAGACTCCTGGCAGATTCAGAGAGAAATATAGAAAAACACAGAATCTGGACATTGTGTAGTGACGGTTATGCGTATCGGACATCTGGAAGGTGTCAATGGAGGACACAGGTATGTTGTTACTCTCCTCCTTCAGTCATACTGTTGATGAAATTGGAAAGTACTGAAATTGTACTTCGAAATGTTCTTGAACCAGGTGCTGTATCTTATGTTATTTTTATTATTATTATTATCTGTCGTTTGTACTCTGTACCATTTGGTACCAAAATGAGCTAAGTGTTAACCTCCAAGGGTCAATGGTCAGATTCAAATTTAGGTTGAAGCCTAATCTTTTTTGTTAGTGTAAATCATTGATCATTATGACTCTGTAAAGCAACAGCAGTGAATTGGAGCCAGTAGAGTACGTATACTTCACTTCTTGCACAGGGAGGGTAATAAAAGTACACTTGTACGAGTTATCTATTGACATAGTTGTACATTTACAATAGACTTTCATCTCTCGCCTAGCCTTGACTCATAGTAACAAATTAATTTGGTGAGCTTGAAAACCAGAAATTTTAGATACTTTCTGAAGGATTTTCACTGTTACATTTTCTCCAAACAAAGAGGAAAACAGCATCAGGTTCAGCTGCCCATGGGTATGGGACACAAAAAACAACCCCTTTAAGAATTATATCAAGTGTATTATTTTACAAAAAAGATTTGTCTTTCTTATTTCATTTTGTTGTTGTTTATGCAAAACCCCGTATTGCGCCAGATACGCCGGCTTCTACGTTCCAGCTGTGTACATCTTGATATTGAATAGGATAGCTATTTTGATAGCTTGTGGAATAATTCATTCATTCATTGGGACGTGCTGTAATTATGTAAGAATGAACAGCTTGTTGGGACCAGAGGCGACGTCACACTGTGTGAGAGAGAGAGAACAGCTGATGTTACACAACTCTGCAGATATCCAGGATTTGACGATTAGATCAAAACAAAGACAAAAAGAAAGGTAATATTCACTGTAAATGCTAGCATTATCCTAGCATGTACGATGGGTAGTTTGAGTTTAGCATGATTTGCAAGTTAGCATTAATAAAGCAATCTTTGCTGGTATGACTTAAAAGGCCAGTAAAGCTTTAACTGTGAGATTTCAGCACGTCCCATTACTGACCAAATTGGATTTTTATGAAGGATAAAATTGAGCAGGTTTGCTGTGACATGCTCACATCTAACTATCATTTTAGGTTTAGCGGAAGCGTAAGTTAACAGCCAACATGTCTATTGAAGGAAGTTTGTTTTTATAGAAACTGGATATACTTTTTTTTTTTTTTTTTTGCTTCCTCTGTTGTCATGTAAGCGCCTTAATGATTCTAATCTCCTGGTCACACTATTGTCAATCTGCTCTTCTTATCATTTGTTGTTGTAAGACATGAAGCCACAGGAAATGGATGCTCCTTAATTGCATTTAACCAGAAAAACCACACAACTGTGACTCAACAAATATCACAGCAGTGACCCAAAAATATTGCGTAACCTCTCTCTATGCTATGTGGATGTTTCACTCATCTGGGGAGGCTTTATGCCTGTATTGTTCATCCTGTCATCCTGTATTACTTCATTAATTTGGATAACTAGCTGACCTTTCTAAGGAATTCGCAGAACATTGGAATTACAATCATAAATGGTCAGTATGGCGATTTCACAGGACAGTAATGCACCTGGTTTTAGCGCAGCAGAACACTGTGAATTATATCTCACTGATCTCAACACACACACACATTGGGCTGAGCAGGAAGTTCATTATTAGCTCCATGCATACTTCACTGGAGTCGATGTGCACAAGATTCACTGTAATTGCCTCAACTTAAGGCTCTCAAAGTAAGATATCAAGCAGTTTGACGGCAACTTTAAAAAAACAAATCCATCTCCGAACCTCCTTCCACGAGTAAAATCTCCCACATGGTGTGGCGTGTCCTCTGATTAAAACATGAAGCCAATGAAGTTAACTTTGCTTTATGCGTTTTACATAAAGATTAACTGTTTTTTTCATCATTTTTCTGTGGTTGAATGTCTGATCAGTAGAAAACTGGGTGTATTGGCATTTAGACTTGGTAACTTTGGACCATCCCCATCATTGATTGCCTTTTCTTGCAGCATTATTTTCATATGCCACTTTTCTTACTGTTTGTGTGCTGCAGATTTGTCCGTCTTTCTGTCAGAGTAAATGACAAGAGAGACGACAAAGTAGTTACGGACTCCTAAACGGAGAATATTTTCTGTCTTGTCTTTTTGCCAGGAATGAAGACGTACCTCATCTCAGGAAGGAAGCCAGACCATGATGTGCAGTGTGGCTGCTCTCAGGTGGGGCTGCCTGGTGGGGAGTTCGTGGGGGTCAACGTGCCCTCCTGCCCTCAGCCTCGTACCCCGGACCTCATCCACGGAGCAGCACAGGCTGCCGAGTCCCTTCTGCCTCACAAGCCGTCGGACAGAACTGTGGTGAGAACGTACTTCAAGAAAACACTTTGTCTATGGCTTATTGAGTTTTGTCCCATTAAACTGATCACATTAAGGAAATCCCCGTTTGAATAGCTGTACGTACCATCCAACCTCTTTGCCTCTTTCCCAAATGTGATTCATCTTTCATGGTTCAAGGCCCTGAACTGGCACCTGAGCTGTCGCCTCGTTGGCTCAAATTAATACTTTGCGCTAAATATATTAAATATTTTTTTAAAAAATCTTCATGAGAATGGAGAATAAAAGACTAAATTTAGCACGTCGGTCATCAACGTTTTGTACAGAAATCCTCTTGCTGACAGACTCAGGATGCAAAGATGCAGCGGCTGATTTTACTTGATTTGTTTTGAGACGTTCTGAGAAGCTGCAGCTAAAACCCTGGAGCTGGAAAAGGTGCGAACAACATTCTGAGAGTAGTAGTGTTTTCTTTCTTTGTCATTGCCATATGTTTCCTCACAACAATTAATGTGGTTCAGTAGATAATTTTCCTTTGCAGACAAAAGTGTTCTTGTGGTTTTAAGGATAGTTTCTCTGAATATTTGCCTGAAATAGGTGGAGTCACTTTAAACTGAGATGGGTTATTGTACTGTATTCTTTTTATGGATTTAAATTTTCTCACCAAAATGTCCGTTTTGCACATTGACGAGACAGGAAAGCAGCAGTAATGCCTAAATTTACTTTCATTAATTAATTTAAAAAAGATATTGGTAAATAGTTTTGGTCATTTACCAAAAAGATCCAGGCGTCTGACTGGCTGCAGACGGAAACTACAGGGGAAGGGAGACTACCGTGCTACTACTTGACTTATGAGCCTTTGTTCAGCCAGCTGATAGGCAGTGTACAGCAGCATGTGCGGAAGGGGAGGCTCTGCAGTGCTTGAAAATTGCTGCACTTTCTCTGAAATCTCTTAAACCACCCATTATCTTCCGCTTATCCAAGGTCGGGTCGCGGGGGTAGCAGCCTCAGTAGAGCGTCCCAGACTTCCCTCTCCCCAGCCACTTGACCCGACTCCTCTGGGGCAATCCCAAGGCGTTCCCAGGGCCCGCTTCACTGTAGATTCAGCACCAATCCGCCTATCGATCTCCCACTGCCATCTCCCCTCAAGACCCGCGATACTTAAACTCCTCCGCTCAGGGTGGGACTTTGTCCCCGACCCGGAAAAGGCACTCTACCCTTTTCTGCCTCAAGACCATTGCCTCAGTTTTGGAGGCACTGATCCACATCCCAGCTGCTTTGTACTCGGCCTGATGAAGGCCACACATCGTCTGCAAAGAGCAGAGACCTAATCCTAAGGTCATTAAATCAGGTCCCCTTAAAGTTATGAACAGAATTGGTGACAAAGGGCCACCATGGTGGAAACTAGCCCCAACTTATTTATGCCAACGCAGACCAAGCTCTGACAGCAGTCATGCTAAAGCCCGTATCAAAGGACCTGGTTTCTCATACTCCCAAACATTAAGAGGGCTTTGAACTATAGGAAAACAGAGGTGGATCATTTACATGTAGCTTGTTAAAGCCTTGGCACTCTACCTTTTTAACAAACATCTGGCATTTGCCTGGTTCTGACAGACTGAGTGCAATAACAAAGATTTTCAATGTTCGCTGCAGCCCCAAGCGACACCTCAAACTTTGGGCCAGAACTTGAAGAAGAAATATGTCCTGGAACATATCTGCCTAAAAATCAGTAAGAAAAGTGTGCTGCAATTTAAGATCGAGGCAAAACATGTTAAACCCTTTTAGTTCCTGCGACATTTGAAGACATGTGGCAGTCTAAGTCTACCACAATGATTGTCTCTTAGGACAGAACCCTCGACAGCCACAATTTTCACTAAACTGTGCATAAAAATCAGTGTTGTGCTTCTGGAGCTCGAGCAAATGTTGTCATCTGTGAAACCCCACGCCCGCTTTGTCTCCCCAGGCTCCCTGTGTTTTCCATGGCACCGTGCGCTCGTCCGTGGCAGAGCAGGGCGATGATGTGGCTGTTGTGAACGGCTGCCAGGAGGAACACAAGGCCAGCGGCGCCAAGGTACGGCCCACATTAGCGCCGCACTTATCGCCTACTTCTCCAAGCGTTTCCCACTTACTCTACTCGACACGCAGGGCCTCCCGCTGTTTTTTATCGCCTTTTTGTCTCCTCTCAAAAGTTCCTGCCAGGCCACAGCCCGAAAGCGGTCAACGGTCTCCTGAGCCCCCCGCTGGAGGACGCCGTGCGTGCCAGCCAGAGCTCCCTGTGCGACATCCTCCAGGAGAAAGAGAAGAAGACCAGCACCAGCACGGGGACCGGCACAAGCCTCGGCATGGCGGCGGCGGTGGCGGCGGCAGGCACGGGCATGGACCACTCTGCCCTCATCCAGCTGCGTGCCAAGAACTTCAAACGGAAGAGCGATGCCCACTTCGTGGATGTTATCAAGGAGGAAAGGTGAGGAGGCCAGTTAAAGGTGGGGTTTATGAGCCGATAGCGCGGCGGAGAGCAATAAAGCAATCTGGTTTTATAATGAGGGTTTTCGTAAACTTGTCCGCTGGTAATAAACCTTTGAACTGAAGAAATGCAGTGAAATAAAGATCCATGCTGTGCCTTGTGTAGGTATTCATACCCCTTCAGTTTAGTTTTTACATTTTGTCACCTTCCAACCACAAAGGCATCCCTGCAGAATGATACTGCCACCACCATGCTACTGAAATGAAAGATATGTCAGGGGTCACAGTCTTGCCCGGCTGACTAGTTTAGCTAAACGCCCATGTCATGGAGGTTGGTTTCCATTTTGGATCTACACTGAGATTAAATAACGTACAAATGGACTTTTCTTTTTTTTTCTTTACCAATTAATGAACATCTGGATTTTACTTTGGTGTATCTTTATGTGTTTCTTTTTATTTTTTTTAATAGTTTTGTTTAAATGAATACAATCCCAATAAGATACATGGAGATTTGTGGTTGTAACTTAATGTAGCATAAAGTGGTTCAATGGCGGGAATTCAGAAAAGTTGATTTTTTTTTTCTGAATTTTTCCAGTGAGTACACTATGCAGTGGTTCAAACAACAAAGATTAATCACCTGAATTTGTTTTTATTTGTCGTACAATTGGGTGATATGAACAGATAGTCATTTAAAATAAAGAGGCATTTATCTGACTCTCATCTAGTTCTTTATGTGACTTCTCTGCAGTCTGATGGAGGACTACTTTTTCAAGCCGCCCATCAACAAGCTCAGTTTGAACTTTCTGGAGAGGCCTCTGGAGAAGGCGTATCGCAGCAGCTACAAAGAAGAGGTACGCAGACTTGCACACACACACACACACACACCCTTCACTTAGATGGAGGATTTTTTTATTTATTTCAGCTCAACTGGTGATTTTGCAGCTTGCTACTGTATCTAACATGAACATGTCTTTTTCCTTTTTCTCTTCCACGTTCTGACTTTCTTTTTAAGATAACTGAATGATTAATGGACAGGAAAAAAACAAAAACTTTCTTTGTAACACGTCATAACTCCATGCCACAGTGAAGACTTTTACTATAAAGACCAGTTCCAGATGTCCTCTGCTGACCCTGGAGACTTTCAGCCCCCTGCTGTTCAATAAGTGTTACTACAGCCTTAAAAAAAAAACACACAGCACATTGCTTCAGTTTCAGCGTCTCTTCCTTACAATTTATTTTTGAACTTCATTGATAAATTCCAGCACTTGCACCAATGTACATCTCATATCTTCTAGCGTTATACAACCCTGGGTGAAACCTGAACCTAGTTAAACTTATCAATGTTTTGCTTATAAAACACAAACTCATTCATATCATGTAATATTTCACTTTAAGGGTGCATTCCGCTTTAATCAAACTTTAGTTGGTTTATCTGGAAAGTCTGGATCTGCAACCCGCCTGAAAACCTAGATCTCAGTTTGGCTGAAGTGAACTCTGGTGCGTATGTGAATGCAGATCGGACTGGAGATGGATCCAACTGTAGCGCAGGGCATTCTGGGTAAATTCTAACAAAACAAACACGAGAAGCTAGTGCTAGCGAGAGCGATGACTCTCGGTATTTTGCCAAAGACAAAAGAGAAATCCCACAACCGCTAAAATCTGATGCGACTTAGTTTTTGCTTACATCTTGTGAAGAAGGAAGTTGTGCTCAGCGACTTCTTCGGGCGTTTCATTGAGTGGTTCTCGGTTCGGCGCCACCACAGGTGAGGAGGGGGGAAACAGGTTTTTCGAAGAGTTCGGATTGCTTCACATAGTGTGGTGTGAAAAGGGAACCGCACCCGATCGAACCGAGTCGACAGGACTATCTGTTATGAGCTTAAATTCTTTCGAATGCGATGACGTTTTTGCTCGCACAGACACACGGTGGCGAAACGCCTCCTCGCCTTCATCTCGGGAGACAATCCAATCTGTTTCAATCTTCTTTTCTGTCCAGGTGAAGAACCAGGTTCCTGTGCAGACGTTTGCCAGCCCCACTTTTAGTTCCTTCCTGGACGTTCTCCTCAGCTGCTTCGTCTTCCTGGCCTTGACCGTGGCCTGCTTCCTTCCGTCTGTGGTGGAGCCGGCCACGGCGGGCCCCCCGGCGCTCGCTGCCCTGATCCTGGCTCCTCTGGCCGGGTTGTTGGAGCTGGCCTCGCTGGTGTTCTCCATACGGTGAGGCTGGGTGGTCTAGACAGATAAACCGCTTCATGGAGGCTCGTGTGAATGTGCTTTTTATAGGGGTGATGGTGCTCATAAGTTTGACATCAGAGTATAGAGTAAAAAAAAAAAAAAGTGAACATAATACAGTCCCTGTTTTAAAGCATTTTGCATTGCAGACGATGAAGGTATGTAAAAAACCTTTAAGTAAGGTCATCTTCAAACTGGAAACAGTGTCAAATCCATTCTAAAAATTTTGGTACATTCATTCTGCTACAAAATAAAAGCAGCTAAAGCATTTTTTAATGTACTTTATTATTCAGACTGTAAGTTTCACTTTTTATTCATAGTTCCATCGACATCTTATAGTCAGGGGCGGCTTATGTGTGTTGCTATTTTCCTCTTTATGATGCATTTTTTTAACTAATACAACTTATACTCCAGAGTGAAGTATAGCCCAAAAAAACCAAAAACATTATGCTTATTTATTTATTTTTTTAAGTTGATCAGATTTCTGGGAATTTTTTGGGCATTGTTACAGTGTGGAACAAGTAAGGAATATGTGCAAAAACACCTCCTTCCCACTGTTAGTGGATGATTTGTGATGGTGTGGGTTTGTTTTTCTACCAGTGGTCCAGGGGGTCTTGTGTGCAAAGTATCTCTCCCAATGCGGTCCATCCAGGATTGGTCCGTTCCATCTCTCATATGCTCCAACTTTACAAAATAACATTTTCCCCACTGAAAAACAAATGTACTCAAATGAATTTGTTTTTGTTTTGTTTGTTACTTTTCAGTGACAGATTATGCTGCTGAAATCAAAGGTGGTCACATTTAATGGGGTTTTACAAATTTGTCAGCACCTGGATAAAAGTCAATGCCTGAAAAAAGTCAGTTATTTATAGCTGACTTTTTTTATTTTATTTTTATTTTTATTTTGTCTCTGCCGTCAGTTAGCAGTTAGCAGTTAGCAGCGTATTAGTACCGAGTTCAGACTTGAACCCGCCCCAAAACATTGTTAGCTTTTCCAGCACTCATTAGAGAAGAAACTTTGCAGTCATACTTTGGTATAAATGTGCAATTAATCTTGAACAGCAGTGTTGTTTCAGCACGGCGTGTAATGGCAGCACCCCGCTGCACTTTCTTTAATTAAAAACAGACATGGGATCTGGAGAAAAAATACGTATTTTATCCGAGTTTGTTTTGCAGCTTCAAACTTTTTTGGGGGTACGCATCCAGTAAACGCTGGAGTTTTGCTGTTTGATATTTTTCTCCCTCCTCTTGATTATTTTCCTCCCTCTCTTCTCTTGCAGCATGACCTTCCACCTGGAGGAGCTGAGGAGATGTACTCGCTCCCTGGCCTTGCTGGTGTCCGGCTGGGTCTCTCGTCATCTGATTGGCGCGGTGTTGGTCTCCCTTCCCGCCGTCTCCGTCTTGTCCCACGTCAGCGCCCGCCTTCCCCTCCAGGTAAATCCAGTTGGTTGGCAAGAACATCACTTAAATTCAACTGAGGCAGAGAAATACTTCCTTACGGTGAAAGAACATAAATATCTACCAACTGTATAAAGAAACAAGATCAAAAAGAATTAGACTAAATCTGTGTTTAACGTAACAGAGGATTGGAAGTAATACTTAAAAAAAGAGGTAACTTTTTTTTTTTGCGCATGTCAGAGTCTAGTCTTCTTTCAGCTAAGATTTTTGACATTTCTGCTTTTTTGTTTTCTTGGAGAAATGTTTGATAACATTTAAGTTTTCCAATCTTTCATGTCTTTGGCATTTTTAAGAAGCGTAAAGGATCGAAGTTGCAGGAGCTCATATAAAATGGGAGGACCAAAAAAATTGAAATTAGGCATAAAATATTTAATCTTATTAAGGTGTTTATCCATGATATTTGATTGTTACAAATCTCCGTGTGGATATAGTCAAATCCCTTCAGCATCTTGGTTTGAAATCAGCTGTTTTTTCTCATTTTGAGGTTAAACCTCTAAGGAAATTGCATTGAAGCATCTTGGAGTTGTACACAAATGTATATCCTGCAGTGGAGGCACAATCACTTTTAATAAAAACTGCCTTTTTGTGAAAATACTTTATTAAATGCAAGCCATAAAGAAAAATTAGTTATTCTTTTGATTAGTTATATTTTTCAGGCTTCAATATAAAGTGACAGTAGTGTTGCAGCGCAGACTGTTTAATAGCCGGTTTGCATGTTCGATCATTTCAAGAGGTGCCAAAGTAAGGGAAATCTCATTTCATGATCATTCACTGCATGTTGCCTAGCAACAATGAGTAATCAAACAAAAGGAGAGTTGATCATTTCTACGGCACACTTGACATTCATTTACCCCTGGTAAAAATAGGTAAAGAGCCTTAATTATTAGCAGTTAATTCATTTCTTTTAGTCCGGTGGCTAAATGCCAGACTGAGTTTTTTTTTTTTCTTTTCTTCAAATGTTTATTTGATTATTTGATATCAACGCGTGAAAAACGCACACATTTTTCCAGTTGCACAATTACTGACAGCCCTACTGTCGCTGGATCTCTTTGAGGTTCTCTCCTGTAACATTTCAAAGCATTGAAGAATAGAGAGAGTTTTTATTCTACAAATAAAATCACAGATGCAGATCTGCTTTTTAGCTGATACTGAAACAAAAAAAGAAATCTGATCATAAATCTAAATGGGAAATATACAGACATGGAGAAACCTGATCTACCCTACGACTCAATGCAATATAAAAACACCCTCTATTTTTAACAATATTTATAATAATCGAAACCAGAAGTTCCTCGCTGTCTGACACTAAATCAGACTAAACTTGTTTTGTTCTGCTAGATGTGACAAAATTATTTCTGTTTGCTCAGTACTGAAATATTAAGAGAGGTTTTTTTTTTAAAATTACTTAAATTAAGCTATTTGCATATAAGTCCTCATTTAGTAGGGTTGCATTTAGACACTGCGACTTGGGTCAAACATCTCGGATATCTCATAATAGTTTGCTGGAATTTTGTCCCATTCCTCCTGAGGCCAACGTTTCAAAATCTCTTTGCAAAGAGACACTTCCACGTGATTTGAGAATTTCCGATCGCTTTTGATTAGATTTATTAAAAAAGCGTTGAGGAAAACCAGATGAAAGTAAAACCACTGAAATAATTACTGATGCCTCTGTTGCTTAGGGGTAACCGCTCTGACGTTTTACCCTCCACCCCAGGTGACCATGTTCCTGTGCTGCGCCGCCATCTTGGCCATAATCCAGTACTGTAACTTCTGTCAGCTGAGTTTTTGGATGAGGTCCGTCTTCGCCACCATCACCGGACTCGCTCTGCTGCTGATGCTGTACAGTCCTGTTCACAGGTACGGTTACATCTCACCTGCACCTCCACTCGCTAAGTTATGTAGACATTATCAGCCATCACGTAGAATTTATTCATCTCTGATGCGATTTCAACAGAAATCAGCCAATTTAACCACAGAAGTTTGAATATCTCATTTTCACTATGCTGAACCGAAGCATATATTTGGCGTGTGTGTGTGTGTGTGTGTGTGTGTGTGTGTGTGTGTGTGCGTGTCTTGGTGTGTGACTGACTAGTCCTTTCTCCTCGCTGACATCATTCTCATCTCCTTTCAGCTCAAGTAATAACACCGTGCCGGTTCATGGGTGAGTGTTTCCATAGAAACAGAGCGGTTTGATCGAAGACTGACATTTGAGGGGGTCAACAGGAGCGACAGCTCTGTTCTATATTTCTCATTACTACAGCTCTGTTTGGCTTTTGCTCTTTTTTTTGCTTTCATCTGCTCTTTATTGTGCTGCCTCTCTCTCTCTCTCTCTCTCTCTCTTTCTCTCTTTCTCTGTGCAGCAGTAGTAATGGCTGCTAAATGCCACTCGTGGTGAAAATAACTCATCCAGCTCAAACTGGCTTGAATTTTTGTGTTCGAGATTTAATTAATCGCAGTGTCTGGAGAGGAAAATGGCGTAGTTCTTCTTTTAAAGGAGCTCATTTCATTACACCTGCTGCTAGATCGCAACATTATTCCACACTAGAGGGAGATTGTAGCTGGTTAGTTACAGTCGTAAGATTCATAAGATTGTAGCGTTGTTTTTTTGGGGGGTTTTTTTGGGTTTTTTTTTTTAATCTGTAAAAGAACGATTTCTAAGAAGATGGTTTTCATCAACCTCATGAGATATGTTGCAAAGCACTTGTGTTTTCTTTGACTGTGCATCTTTTCAGCCTTGAATTCTGAAAAGCCTGTTTTATTATCACACGTCGAGTTCATTATTCAGATCCCGTTCAATGAATCTGAATATTATAAAAAACAGTCAGTTTATTTCAGGAACTTTATCGTTAAGTGAAACACGTCATATAAATTATTTACACACAGATGGATGCTTGAAACCTTTGTTTCTGTTAATTATGATTATTTTTCACTTAGTCATTGAAAACTAAGTGAAAAAGTTATTTAAAATTCTAATTTTAAATTAGAATTTTTGTATTAATTCCAATTTGTAATTAGAATTAATACAAAAAAATGAAATTGGGTATGTAGCCGTAATGAAAAGTATGTTTAATACCTGCTTAAAGGTTGTCAGTTTTGTAATGTGACAAATTAGGAGAAACCCTGAAAATAGTGAAAACAGTGGATCCCTCTTAGAGAAAGAAAGAAATATTATCGGGGTTCTCTTTGTTGTTTTTACCTCTTTAGTATTGATTTTTTATTTATTTTGCATTTCATCAATTGTCAGCATTTAGTTGTGAAATCTTTTGGTCAGTAAATATAAACGGTGTACTTTATGTTATGGATCTTGAAGGTAACATCCGTCTCTTCTGGTCCGGCCGCGCCGTTGGGTGCGTCCTCCTTTGCCGGTCTAATTTTCATCCCGTTTCCTCCAGAAACAGGCTGAACGACTCCGCCTCCAGCGAGTTGACCCCAGACACGTCGAGGCTCTCCGACTCCCTGGTCACGGAGGCCATCCTGGCCTTCTTCCTGCTTCTCCTTCTGGTCTGGTTCCTCAATCGTGAGTCCGAAGTCAGCTACCGCCTTCATTACCACGGCAACGTGGAGGCTGACAAGCACCGCTCCAAAATCCAGACGATGCGAGACCAGGCTGAGTGGCTGCTGGGCAACATCATCCCCATCCATGTGGCCGACCAGCTCAAGGTCTGCCTCGCTTGCTTGTTTAAATTGTTAAAGATAATGAGAAGAGGTGCTGTAACGATTTAAAGAGTGAGATTGTTTTAATTTGTTCTGTCCTCCCCCCCCCTCTTTTTTCTCTTTTGCTCAGGAGACCCAGAGCTACTCCAAGAACCACAACAGCGTGGGGGTGATCTTCGCCAGCATCGCCAACTTCAGCGAGTTCTACGAAGAGAGCTACGAGGGCGGGAAGGAGTGCTACCGCGTCCTGAACGAGCTGATCGGAGACTTCGACGAGCTCCTCCGCAAGCCCGAGTTCAGGAGCGTGGAGAAAATCAAGACCATCGGCTCCACCTACATGGCGGCGTCGGGGCTCAACGTCCAGCAGACGGGGGACGACGAAGACGAGTCGCCCCACGCGCACCTGAGGGCGCTTTTCGATTTTGCCCTGGAAATGATGGGCGTCCTGGACGACTTCAACAAGAACATGCTGGGGTTTGGTTTCAAGCTGCGCATCGGGTTCAACCACGGGCCCCTGACAGCGGGGGTGATCGGCACCACCAAGCTGCTCTACGACATCTGGGGGGACACGGTCAACATAGCCAGCCGGATGGACTCGACCGGCGTGGAGTGTCGGGTGCAGGTGAGCGAGGAGAGCCACACCGTGCTCAGCGCCATGGGCTTGGAGTTCGACTACAGGGGGACGGTCAATGTCAAGGGCAAAGGCCAAATGAGGACTTTTCTCTACCCGAAAAGCGGGGAGAGCTTTTGCCAGGACCAAACGGAGCAGGCAGCCGGAGTTGGACCGACGATATTAACTTCCAGTAAGACTTCCTCCTCTCTTCCCAATCAGTCCTCTCCGCCCCGAAGCACTGTAAGGGCTGCAGGAGCAAAATCCGAGCCCGACCCGGCGACGAGCGTAGAAGAGAGGGATGAAGGATACAGGGACTTAGCACACAACCCTGAGGAGTCCCGCGACAGACACTTCAGCAGCCTTGCACGCTCCGAGCTAGGCCCAGCTGCGCAGACGGATCCCACTCCTCTCACGCTTCAGGAGGAGGAAGAGGCGAACGAGCTGACGAAGCTCAACGAGGAGTTTTACGCTCGTCTCTGATCGTAGATCCCGCCATTCTTCCATCATCTTCTTGTCCCCCGCTTCCACCTCTTTAGGACCGATTACAGATGCCGGCAAGGACGTCTCTTCCTTTCCTCCTTTGGCACAGAGGAAGCAGCGGACTGTTTTAACGCACACTGCGGCTTCGGCGGCTTGAAATTGGGGCCGGGAGGGCTGCCGCCACCGCCGCCGATCTTCTATGGGAGCGTTGCCCGAGCGGCTCTAACCGTGGATTTTGGAGCTGTGCTGAGCACAGCGGCTTGTCGCGATGAAAAAGCATGAAGAAGGAGGAAAAAGGAACACTTTTAAGGTGTTATGTCTTTTCTTAATATTTTTATTAAGTGCCTTCAGGACTAGAACAGTGAACGAACAAATATGAAAAGTGAACAAGAGTTGAACAACCCAGACTACAGAACGTGCTGTAGTCTCTTATTTCATCCTTTATTTTTTAATGCAAGTATTGTTTTTCTTCTTTTTTTATTTTTATTTTTTATAAATCATTACCTTTGTGCCATATCAATCGCTAAGGGAAAATCATTTTAGTTTTTATGTGAGTGCCAACGCTGTGTTATGGGCTTAGTGGGAAATTAGGGGAAAATTGAGGGAATTACACAAAGCAGTGTTAATATTACATATACTGCTTTGACATAAGGGCCTAAATACAGTACTCATTTATGCCCAGAGATTCACTTATAAGATGATATGCTGCAAAAGCAGGCTGCTTCGATGATTTAAAAAAAAATTTTTTTTAGCTTGTGTAGCAACTTGACGAACATTTTAAGCACAGTTCTTGCACAGTGTTTTTGTTTTATTTTTACCACTTGTATTTAGCAGTTTGTACAGCTTGATTGCTTCTTAAGAGACGTTGGGGAAAGATCTTACAGTAAAAAAAAAAAAAACTAAAGAAGCACAAAAGCTTAGACACATAAGGGAAAATAGATCTGAACAAGATGTGTTTCTGAAGCAGGGACACCATCGGAGAACAGGAAGGCACTTTAAACACCCACAGTGCCTTGCAAAAGTATTCATGCATCTTGAGCTTTTTTTTTTTGTTGTTGTTGTTGCATTTTTGTCATTTTCCAGTTTCCTCAATGTATATAATTGGGATTTTATGCAATAGATCAATACGAATTAGTGTAAAATCAGTACAAATATCGTTGAGAATGATTGAATGAAATCTGAAAAGTGTGGCAGTCATTTGTTGTCAGCCCTCCCAAGTTAACCCCTCGTAGAACCAACTTTTTGGTGCAAGTTCCTTTACACGTCTAGAGACTTAAGTATTCTTCTTTCCAAAAACGACACAGGCTCAGTCCCACTGAGAGCTTTAGTGAAAAGAAAAGGCAATTCTAAGCTCTTGCGCTGATTCCAAGTCAAATTTTCACTTTATTTAGGTCATTAAGACATGAGCAAGCTTTGGCCCAAATCGTTCCTGTGTACCTCTGGCTCAGTTTCACGCTGAAAGGTGAACCTTCAGTCTTTGTGAATTCCTAACAAGTTTTTCTTCCAAGATTTGGAGCTGCTTACTCCATCCTGAAGAAAAACATCCCCACATTTTATTTTTTATTTCAGCCTTGAGGCATTCTGAATATAGACCAAAACGTTCAGATTTGAGTGTCCTTGGTGAAAACGTGAATTGCATCGGATTAGTTGTGTTGAATCGTTTTTTTTTTATATATATATAATTTAGTAAGCGATTAATCATTAAATGGAGAATAGAGATTCAAAAAAAAGAAAAAGAAAACAACATAGTCAAAGCAGTAATTAAGCCAAAACTGTACAAAAGATATATACATTTTATACTTATGAGTTTAAAAAAAAACTTTATCAGTAAATATATTTTACCCAGAATTTCTCAAGTGACAAAGTGTTAGCTTTATTCTGCTCAAATCTCGTAAAATAAATAAATAAATAAATAAAATCTCGTATTAAGTGGATTTTTCTGTCCAATTATTGATTGGTTAATCCGAAAAAAACAATCAACAGTCTAACCCTACAACATATTGATTAAGTTAGGCTGAGCTTTTTCACATGTTGATGTTAGAAGTATTTTATTTAGCTTTGCTACAAATGATCAGTCACTAACAGAATGCTATCTTGTTGCATTTAAGGCAATAAAATGTTTATTTTCTTATTTTAAAAAAGGAATTAAATTATTTATCTGTATTTTTAATGTATTTCCAATATTGTTTGAAGTAAGCGTAAATAGTTAAATAAAAACTCTGCAGAATTTGCCCATTCTCTGTCTGATTAAACATCAGGATAAATGATAAAATAATCAATTACCAAAATAATTGGTTAGCTGCAGGCCTATCCTCATCTTACTAGGATGAATGGATGCACACACCTCTTTAATTCTCCACCAATCTGTGCTGGTCTGTCACATGAAATCCCTCGCTTCGCTTCAGCACATTGAGGTTTCTGCTTGTAACATGACAACATGTGAAAAAGCTCGATGACTATGAGGATACTTCTGGAATGTGCTGTCAAGTGGAACCATGATCTGCTTTTTGAGGATGCAGTATACTCTCTTCCCCTCCTGGATTGAGAACGTGAAGGAGCAAATTCAAAACCAAAGGTTTTTTTTAGTTTGCTTCACCTGGAAGCTTGTCTACAAGTGAGATGGGAGTTTAGAAATCAAATCAACTTTGGGGTGTTGTGTACCTTTAATCGGGAACGTGAGGAACAATCGCAGTCCACACGCGCCTGTTCTGTGTCCAGACACAGCTCATCTACAGTTCACTGTGTGTTAAACCTCTGAGTCAAACTGTGTGACGCTCCATTGGTCACCTTTACTGCTTGAAACAAAGGAACAACAACAAAAAAAAAAAAACTGAAATAAAATGAATATAATTTCCCTACTGTGGGACAACAAAGGATACTTCTATTCTGTTGAGTTAGCTGAATTTGAGTTTCGCACTACAGTTTGCTGTTGAAGTGTTGGGACATTTCACGGCTTCTTCCCCGGGGAAGGAGCCCTCTACTGTATCGATATTGTGCCACTTTAATGGAGTGATCTGTAAGTGAAGTGCAACAACACCTAGTTGATTGTTTTGTGGTGCCTAAACTTATGGCTGTTTTTTCTTTGTTTTTGTTTTTTCCTTTTTCAGTATTTTAGTACACTTTTTGTTTTTGTTTTTTAAATAATACATTTTTCATAAGGACGATTTGATTATGATTGTATGTTTTAAGAAAATGGAGCTCCCACAACGTTTGCTGCAGGTTGGAGTTGACAGATTTCACGCGGTTGAAATCCAACGGGGTTTCGCATCGAATCACTGCCGCAGTTTGCTCTTTTGCCCTTTCACTTCCCCCTCATGTTCGGTTTCTTCTCCTCAAACCACATGTCTCTCTCTTGTTGTGTGTGTGTGTGTGTGTGTGTGTGTGTACTGTGAGACATCTAACTTTTACCTAAAGTAAATAAGAGAAAAGATGCAAAAGGAAATCCTTGAGATTAGGCAATCTTCAGTGTTTCATTTCTTTGCTGCTGCTGCCTCCTCGTTTGTACAGGAATTACATTATTTACATTTCTCTGTTAGAGCCGGGCTGGGAGAGGGAGGGGGAGGGAAGAGCATGTGTTGTCATTGCAGAAAAAATGTAAAAGGGAAAAAGACCTTCTCTATTCTCAGTACCTGTCAGGAGTATTTATATCGCCTAGACGTTTTCACATCGCGTCTCATTACAACCACAGACTTGAGTGTACTTTATCGGGGACTGCATGGGAACAATTTTCAAGTCTTTCCACAGATTCTTTGTTGGATTCAGGTCTGGACTTTGACTGGGCCATCCTAGCACATGATTGTGCTTTGATATAAGCCATTCCATCATAGCTCTGGTTATTAGTTTTAGGGCTTCTTGTCCAGCTGGAAGATGAACCGTCACCCTGGTCTTAAGTGTTTTTGTCTAACGCTGCTTTTAACTTCTCCGCAACATTTTCCCTCAACCCGTCTACTGTGCTTCTTGGTCAATTTGTGGCTGTTTCCTCACTAATGTTCTCTCTCTAGCAGCTGGATTTCTACTGAGATTAGATAGATTCTTATTTTATTAGTGGGTTACTTCTGAATGCAATAGAGTAAGGTGCAGTATGTAACTTTTTTGAACAATATGTTTATGTATTTATTTTTTTACCCATTTACCATATTTGTTTAAATTGAGACCAAGTAGTGTTGTCACTCAAGTGCTTGTACACGCTGCTAAATGTGCATGCATTTAGCACCATTGCAGGAAAATAGTTTATTTTCCGTCACTGGTGGCCGTGCTGACTAGCCTGAGCATTCACAGCAGGCTTCGGTGTGGAGGAATGTAACAGAGAGCAAGAGGGGGAGGGTTTGAACTGTGCATACACAAGCATGATTGACAGCGCAAAGACCTTCCTCCTGACTCTGATTGGTTGTTTCTGCAGATGACAATCGGACCACAAGCAGGAGGCAGTGGAGTTTGATTTTTTTTATTATTTTTTTTCACATATTATTCAACTCATTTTATACTGTCAAAACGTAGCGACAGTTTTAATAATTATGTGTAAGACATATTGTTTTAAAAGTTACACACTGCAACTTTAAAGACTTATCTAAAAACAAAAGAAAATAAAGCCACATATCATTTTCTGCCCACTTCACAGTTATGTGCTACGTTGTATAAAGTCCAGATAAAGTACATCAAAGCGTGTGGTTGTAATGTGGCAAAATTAAAAAAAAGTTCAAAGGCTGTGAATACTTCCGCGAGCCTCCATATCCATCTGCCTCATCTGTAGCATAGAAAGACGTTTGGTTACCTCTGCCACTGGGCATCCCGCGCATACACAATCAGTGCCTTTTTTTTTTTTTTTTTCTTAAATTGTTGTGTGTGTGAAGTGTGGTTATAGTGTCAAATGATTTAACCCTAATTGCATTAATACCATGAGAATCCAAAGAAGCATCTTCAGCAGACGTCACAGTAGCTAGAGACAAAAATAGTTATGTGAGACTTCAGTCATAAGCTCTCAAAATGTTTTTTTTTTTTGTACACTTGTGATTCATATTCCCAGATCGCTCGCTTTTGATGAGCCACAGCACAAAAAAAATAAATAAATAAATAAAGTTGGAGAAAATACTAGGTCTTTTGTGAAGGAAGGTTTCACACACATTTTCTTGACGACCTTTACGCCTTATGTTGTTAAGTAATCCTGTGTGAGTTTTAGGCCATGGCAGCACAACATACAAAGAAAAAAAAGAAGAAAAAAAGAGATTTCACAAGTTGACAAGTGCACCACCTTTCCAGTAGCACACATCTGTATACAGCCACAAATAAAACATTACATTGAAAACTACCGAGTCTGTGATTTGTGTACCAAGGAGAGGAGTTTGTCTCGACTGCATGCGAGTTCTCTTGTTCCTTTTGATTCTTCACTATACTCGCACTGTAATCGTTTCTGGACTAAGAATGAAGAGTTTGTTCAAAGGGAATCAGACGATCCAGTCACAGACTTACTTTTACGATTACAGCGATCAATGCTCAAAAGTAAAGAGCCAAGCCCATATCATGACACTGCCTCCACTGAGCTTCGAATGCGGGTTAAGTCTGATGAAATCTTTTAGGTTTCCATTTATTTGTCATTTAATTTCATCACTGTGTGTTGGAAAACCCTCAGCATGCATCAGAAATAAGATTTGGTTGTGTAAGAAAAAGAAGCGCCAGTGAAACAGCATGACTCCATTGTTCGTCTAGATGATGACGTTAAAGCAGCTCCCACTAATATTCTGGATGTTCCAGAGTAGAGTTGGTTGATTTTGAATGCATTTGCTATATTTTCATAACAGAGATTCACGGTGTGTTATCTGAGTGCATCACCTTATGCGTCTTTTATCAACACATGGTCCTGAAAAGCACTCATTGTTTATTTTATTGTAATATTTTATTCATTTAATTTGTTACATTTAATTTAATTGTTTTTTTGTTTGTTTTTTTACATGTGCATGTGTCAGAAAAGAGAAAGGGGTGTTTATTAGCGAACTGTTCAATGTGTGTATTGGCTTAAGAGGGAGTCATAATGTAATCCAGTTCTTTTTTCCAGTATGAAAGAAATAAATACTGAAGCAGAATACTGCAGATCAAAATGCAGAACTCAAGATCCACAACATGCACACTGATGTCTAATCAAAACCTGCTGCTGTCGTGTGTTCCTGCATTGTTTCAAGATGCCTTGTTAATATAACGGATGCCTTCTAAAACTTGCTGTTCATTGGCCTATGGGCTTAAGAGGATCAAAAACATCCACAGCATCCTAACATAATGCTGAACAAACCTACAATGGATCTTTAGTGTGTAGAATGGAAAGATAATATTTTTCTTCTGGTTTATAAGCAATTTTCATTATAAAAAGTATCAAATTATTTTGTATTTTGTTTATGACAATGTTAATAGAAAAGAACTTAATGTAATCACAGAATTCTTACTAAGAAGTTCTTTGCCTGATTTAGCTAATTAATTAAGTTAACAAATTAGAGAATTGCCCATTACTCTAGGTTTTAGAAAATTAATATGGAAAAAAATTAGAAAAATAATATACTCTTTTCAATAAAATGTTTTCACAAGATGAAATCTGGAAAAAGCACAAATACATACAAAAGTATGAATATGAGAACATTAGAGAAAATAAAATGAAGGATCAAAAGAACAGTACATATAGAAAAGGAAAAAAAGCAAAGGCAGATAGTTGTAAATATGCTTATTTTATTTCACAGGAGTGAGGTTCTAAAATATTAATTCTGTTCATCAGAGAGCCATACAGGTTTGCATTCAATATTTCAAAATAAACATTTTCCCGTGTTTTTTTTTTTTTTTTTTTTAATTGTCATTCACTTTATTTACATTTACAGCGGTGGAAAAAAAATTAACGAGCACTATGAATTGCTTCATAATTCATAGTGCTTGAGCGCCCCCAGCGGCGCCCAGCGGCAGTGTTTTTACGCAGGGCGTGATTGTGCGGCCCCTCCCCCTCCACAGTCGATCTGGAAAAGAAAAAAAAAAACTTTTTTGTATCGAAGGAATCAACAGCCGCCATCTTGTCGTGGCTCGGAATTGGGATTTCGATCCAACACTGGGTTTCGCGTAGAAATACAGCATCATTACCTGGCTATGACAGCGTCCTTCTGTCGAAAACGAAACCTTAACGTCGCTCCCGGAACATTTTGTGCAAAAAAACTGGAATCGGAACGGTGGTCGTCGGGCAGAATTGCTCCGTATATCTGATTTCCCCTTCAGAGTGCGGCGATTCGAGCCCCCTGTCGCCCGTTCGGGAGCAGCATTGTTTACCGTCGGCAAGCGGAGGAGCAGGTCGCGGCTTTCGAGGAGGATTTTTCAAAAAATTGCATTTTTGTGCAAATGTGCATTTTTGCGGAGCTTCGCGCGATTTTTGCATGAAGAAATTTGACGTCACGCAAAATGGGTACTTTAAACATTTAGAAATTACGACTTTTTGCCCGATATGCAGCAATCTCCCTGATTTATCCGGATTGACTCGTTGAAGCTCGATTTTTACATGGGGACTCTTTTATTTTGGGTTATTTAATGGTAATAATGTGGGTGTTGGGTGTTGGATTATCATGGGGTGAATGGCGGTGGCGGAGCGGGGCGCTATTGCATCTCTTTTGAAAGACGTTGACTCTTAACAGCGAGGAGTAGCTAACAGTTACCAGAGCTGGTAGCAGGCAATTAGCCAGTTAGCTAACTAAGCTGCCAACTTGCTAATGTGCTAACTGGGAAGGCTCCGGCTGATAGAAGACAAACTTCCCTGTCATAAGTTAGTGCAAAAATAAAGAAGCCAGACAGACTCTGAAGACAACTATGGCTGAAAACCTGCTGGATGTTGGACCTCCCAGCTCCAAGCGACCGAAACTAAATTCACCTGCCCTATCAGCGTCTGATGGACAAGGTAAGGCCTGAACACGCTTTCTAAATAGCAAAAAACTATTTTGACTATTCGCACTCACCATTAGACCCTCTGGTATAGCTTACTAACTCCTACGTATCAACCAAGAGGCACACTTTCAGATTTGATAACAGGTGAGTTCGGCAAACTGGTGGGCTGGCTGGTTTACGGTACTGTTATGGTTTCGTTCTCTCTGCACAATCCCTGTTTACGTCGACGCATTGTTGGGTAGCATGGCATTAATTCAGTCTGGCAGACCTGCACAACTCCAGTCCTGGACACATAGCTGCAGTCAATAGCAAGCTTCCTGTGTGTTGTTAGCTAGCTCGGTCCGTTCCTCACTGTCATTTCAGCTCGTGCGTGTGTTGAGAAAATAAGACAATAAACCAACGATATTTATGCCCATACGCCTTTAAAAGTATTGCTATATGTGCTTAAACAAAATGTCTACAGACGTGCTGTGTCCGGATTGAAAATAAACTATTTCATTTGAAACATCCATAAAACAACTTCAAAAGGATGCTAAATCAACTGTGTTGGGTGAAAACCTGTGATTCTAGGGTAGTTTGTGTCCTTAATTAGCACTGCAGCCCTTGAAAACTTGATTATAAATAAAGAACATTAATTTACAATTATTATTATTTTTTTAATTGTCAAGACATTATATGCTAGATTAGGCATTTCCTTGCAAGTACCAATTTCTAAGTCCAATGCTACTTTAGACCAAATCTGTAAGCAATATAACAAATGCAAGTAAGACAAAAATGCCATATTGCTAACAAGAATTTTAAAAATTATATTCTGGGAATTTGTGCCTTGTTGTTGAAAATTCTACATATAGAAGTGAATCAATGAAAAAGCTATAGCTAGTTTAGAGGTGAAAATACAGTGAGGAGCGCAAGAAACTGGCTGATATTAGCGTCCCTTCTCTAACTGCAGCTTTATGTGTTTTTCTCAGCATGTGCTTAAAAATGTAGGGTTACATGTAAAGTTAGAAGTGTAGAAACTTTTCAGAAGAGTTGTACTCTAAATTTCTCTCCTAAAGAGCAATACAAAAACTCTCAAGCGATGCCAAGATCAAGTGTCTATGTTCTAAATTAACATTTTTACCATGACGCTCATGCTGATTTCACTTCTCTCCAGGAATTCAGGTGGTTTTGTTGCCTCCAAGTACTGCAAATGAATAAAAAAATAAAAAGTGCGTGCAGCCGGTTCTAATTTTGAATCGAGCGGAGAAGGAAGGAATCCGAGGACAATCACTATTCTGTTCTGTTCAGCCTCAATAGTGAGACTTAATGACATACTCGGATTATCAAAATCACTTTAATCAGCAGAAATCATCCCGTTCCTTCTTGTAAAATATTTCGTAATTGAAATCGATAATGGAAAATATATACTTTTTTTTTTTAAACAAATACTACAGCTTACCTTCTTGTTGACTATAAAGAATGTAAATGCTGAACTTCAGATAAAAACATCTACTCATTCATCAAATCACTTGATTTCTGGGATAAAGGTAGTTGAAAACATGACCTCACTTAATATTTGGTTGATTTAAAAACAACAACAAAAAAAATCTACTTGCCCCAAGTAAATTAAATAAAACCCTCATCCGTAACCCCTTTCTATGTTGCTGAGAAATAATCATCTGGATATAAGAGCTGCACAATATATCAAATTGCAATCAGCATCACAAAGTCAGTTTACAGAATATTGCAAATAACTGCTTGGAGGCAATATTTGGTGAAATACTCCCCATTTCCAGTGACTGGCATTCACACTCTGCATATTTTAGCAATATATTTGCCAGTTATACGGATTCTAAGCGCCCTTATTGCTCACGCCTGATCTTTATGTTTATTGGCTGAGACGCTGAAGCTCCTGGAGAGTAATGTGGGTGATTGTAAAGAAATAAAAGTTAGAAAAAATGCATTTCAATCATACGATCATCACTGCAGTTTTCAGCAATAGTATTGCAATTTCATCCCAGTCTAGCAGAAATGGTTCCGCTGATGACAGATGAAGATGTTTGCCGTTTAAAGATGTTTGAAAAGTGTTGCGCTACTGCTCTATCGGAGGACGATGTTACAGGTGTGGTGGATGAGAAAAGGGCTCAGTGCCAGAGCTTTGTGTAGCCTCTGATTTATAAAAACTAGACATGCATGTGTACACAGGCAAACCAGAAAAATGCAACACACGAGTGTTGTCTCCGTCATCTTCAAAATATACACTCAAAGAAATCGAAGGAGAGTTTGATAATCTCCTTTTTGGTGTAGATTAGTGAGCTGCCTCCTTTTTTAAGCCTCTTTTTGCTTGAGTTCTTACAAATGCCTCACACTGCTTTTCTTTTTTTTTCTTCAATAGGCATCTCTCTTGAAATGCAGCATTAAAATCTG